CAATTATAGTCTACCCAGGCACCGTCACAGGTTTGTTATTCTCCGAGCTAAATGCAGTCTTTGCAGCCAAGCACTTTATTTTCTTTATTTCTCCCATCCTCCTGAAAATGGGAAAGGAGGAAAACGATCCTACGCCAAATGATCGGACTACGAAGAGATAATGTTCCCTGGTATCTGGCCTACTTTAGTTCTCAATGTTTCAAAACAACGACAATTAACTCCCACTAGTAAATACCAGTGCGACCCTCCTCGATTTGAATAAAAGTTTTCTTTTCCGGTTGGGGTTTCGAATTTTCGTGGTTTTTTAGCCGGCAAAGATGAAAACTTTTCCCAAGTGCGACCTATGCCTATCTCGCTGTTATTTCTTACGCTAATTCAACGTGCAAGGTGAAGAAAGGCGAAGACGTGGATGGCTCGTGCCCCCAAAATTTCATTCACAGCGTGATCTATGTCCGGTTCTGTCATCAAGATCTTCGCCGATGAGCGTCTATTGGCTAGCAAACTCGGTATTTCATTTTTCCCTAGCTATTGCTTTGGGGTAGCTGTCAAGGGAAACTTTATTGTTCTCGAGACATATCCAAGAGCCAGACGATCAAATTTCTCCGAGGTAAGTTACCTAGGGAAAAATCGGTCACAATTAAAAAATCAAGTTTCCCTAGGTAAACTGTCAACAAGTCGTGTTTACCTAGGTAAAAAGTCTGTAGTGTGACCACAGCTATTATGACTTCTTTAACTGCTTTGCAAGTTGAAAGCAAGCCATTTGGCTGAAAGCGTAGAATTATCAAACTGCCGTGGTGGCTCCTAGTTGCTCACTACTTTCAGGCTTAATTGTTTCTTTTCGTCAGAAGAATGGGTAAAAAAATGCCAGTTTTTGAGCCACTAACCTCTCCTCTCCCACATTAAATGTGGCTGACCTGACATAGCCATAAATGAAATGAGTTTTCCACCTCCACAATGTGCAACAAACGTCTCCTACCGAATAATTTTGTACTCGAAGAAAATAAAGTAATAGCTACTTTCAGGTGTCGCTTCTTTGAGAAACTAGCAAGTTAATTTCTGTGATCGGGTAGTATCAACAAAAGCTTTCTTTCAATATTATCATCGGAGGGCGCAGCCCGAGGGCAACGAACGAGGGGATTAAATCACATAACCACGAGCTGAAGGCCGATAAACGGCTTATTTTTACATAAGCGAGGATTCCTCAAGGGAATCTCCATGCTGGCACTGGTGGCATTCACAGGTTTCTCGGCTTTTTAATTATGTTAGTTTTTCAAAGTCGCATTTCAAATTAGTTGTTCGCAGGGAATACTAGAAACAGCCTAGAGAGCCTAGCAGTGTCGAGCGATTCAGAGCCAGAAGTAGAGCCGTTTATTACTCAAACTAAAGCAGCTTTAGTGGCCGTACTGCAAGAGCTTTCGGAAAACAATTTGAATCTTCATTTGTGGGTGCAGAAAACGAGCAAGCAGTTGACAATTTCAATTTTCGCCCCGAGGATCTTTCGACCGACCTGCATGTTTACAGACAAAGAAGATTCCGGGCGGGGGATCACTACTGTACCTGACAAGGAAATTCAGTCGAGGAATGAAGCAAAAATACAACAAAACCCAAGGAGGTCAACTACATGTCTTCATGGAGTACACGAGGGTGGTATGACTGGTTAAAGAACGTAACTTCTTACCATGACAGCGACACTTTCGTGGAACCGTAGAATTTTAAAGACGCTGTTCAATTTCGAACTGTCGTTTTGGCTGTGGAAATCGATGAACCAACAACTAAGAAAACCCGTGACAGGGGCGGATCCAGGATTTTTTCAGGAGGGGGTGCACCACTAAGGAATGGCGTAACTGACTGGTGACCGAATGTAAACAAATTTTAATCTTCAAATCAAAATCTTCAAAGGGTTTCTGAAATGACTTTGAAGAAACTTTTTTATTCCATATGTAAAGGTAGGCAGATCTTACCTCCAGCAATAAGTAGTCGGTACATTTAGGATTTCATAGAAAATTCTCATGTAGTAGTATAAAGTATATTATTCAGTTTCTGTTTTTAGAGAGAAACAGAGGAAAACTTCTTTATTACCTGCCCCATTGAAAATTTCCTTCCACGCTACCGTCGCCACAGCTATCATATTCAATTGATTTACTAACAGCGGGTCGGTATACCTTATTTCGCTTGGCGACAGCTGCAAAAATATCTCAGCGTCAGTACGGTAATAAGTGATGCAAATGTATCCAAAGAAGTATAAGGAATTATTTCAACAATTTTATCAATATGATGTTTTAGAAGTTAGTACGGACAAAAGGCAGTAAAAAAACACGTGAAACGACTAAGAGCCGTTAGGGAACCTGATGTCAGAAATTTGTTAAAAATATGTGAACCTGTTTAGCCGACTATGATCACACAGGTTATTATGTCTGTTTTACAGTTAAATTATGTCAAACATTTTAACCGAGACAATTGACTTGAATTTTGCAATTTTTTACAAACTGTAATTACAAATAAAAGTATAACTGTAAAATCCCAGTATAACGCACTACATTTTCGATACAGTTCCATTAAATTTGCTTGATAAAACTTAAAAAAATTAAACTGGTCAGACGAAATTTAAAATATTAATTGGGCGAATGACGACAGTTGCTTGTGTTTTCTGAGAACGAAATGGGAGGCTAAGTTCGCGCTTTATGGCATTTTGTTAAATAGTAAGCGGCCTTACATTATAACCTTCACACGTGGCGTAAAGTAGCTAAAGGCTGTTAAAGGTTAAAGCAAACTTGTTATAACTTGATGCCATTCTACGCTTATCACGTACTCTTTTAGACAACTTTACGCAAATTGAAATGTTGGTGTAAGGTTAGAATACCATCTTCAACTTAAGTTCTAAGTAATATTCACCTCCTGCCGTCAATTTATTGGAATGCCCTGCATTTGTTGATAGACAGAGATTACACTTCCCTACTTGAGTGTCAATTTATTGGCTTGATTTCCCTCACATCAACCCACCCCAGTCACTTTACATAAATTTTGCACTGCCCAACTTGTGTCAATTTACATAGATTTTATGATGCCCTGCTTGTGGCAATTTACATAGATTTTATGATGCCCTGCTTGTGGCAATTTACATAGATTTTATGATGCCCAACTTGTGTCAATTTACATAGATTTTATGATGCCCTGCTTGTGGCAATTTCCAGAAATTTTATAGTAGAATAAAATAAGTTGAGAAAATCCTTACAAAGATCATACAGGGAATTTGTAACGTCTCTAACCTTTTCAGTTTGCTCCTTATTTAATTTCATCAAAGAAAATTTGCACCTCTCTAAATAAAAGCTTTGCTTGATGAAACTTTAAAAAAAATAAAACGATGCTGACGCAATTTAAAATATTAATTAGACGAATGACGAGAGCGACTGGTATTTTCTGCGCACGGTTCCTCCTTTTTAAATTTCATCAAAGGAAATTTGCACCTCTCTAAATAAAAACTGTAAAGAAATGTTAATAGCACAAAACTTCCAAGGGGTTCTGAAATAATTCTTAATAGACTTTGTTATTCCATGTAAAAAGGTAGCCAGATCTTATTCTCCAAGGACAGAAAACACTGTCGGTAATAACATGGTGTCCGTATTAAGCGGGTGTCTGTAACGCGCTACTGCATTTTATATGTTTAATGACAGCGGAGATTCCAGCGATTCACCGAGCTCATATCAGCTGACTTCTAAGAAATAATTAGCGTGATCTCCAAATTTTTGTCACTGATGATGCATTCCCTGGATCGTTTCAGTAATAAATTTTCCGGTTGCCTTAACAGAATAATTAAATAAACTTCCTTTAAATTCGCTTGATTAAACTTACAAAAATAAAACTATGCACACACATTTAAAAAAAATAGATTGGGCGAGCGAATAACGACAGTTTCTGGTGTTTCATGTTCCCTACTTTGGGGTATAGTTAGCGATTTTGTAACATTATTAAATAAGTAAGCAACCTTATGTTGTATCCTTTACACCTGGCGTAAAGTAGATAAAATTTTTTTAAAACAAAGTTATCCTTGCTTGATGTAACTCTACAATTATGACGTAAAGATTTAAGCAACTTCACGCAGAATGGAATGTTGGCGCAAAGTTTGTTGACCATCCTTAACAAATTTAGGAAAGCTGCGCCTTTTCGTCAATCTCAATTTTCATGACCTGTTCTGGGTAGTATTCAGTCACCATCTGTCGTCAATTTATTGGAATTCCCTGCATGTGTTAATAGACAGAGATTATACTTTCCCTACTTGTGTCAATTTACTTGACTCGAGTTCCCCGCTTCAATCGAGCCTAGTCAAATTACAATCATTTACCAATGCCCCGATTGTATCAATTTATAGAGACTTGTGTGTCCTTATTTATGACATTTTACTGGGATTTTACAACTCTCCAAGAGTGTCGATTTACCGCATGGTATGATGCCTCGCTTTGGTCAGTTTACAGAGATTTTCTGGTGTCCTTATTTTGTCAATTGCCAGATGTTTTATAATAAAAATAAAATAACTTGAAACTCACAAACATCGTACAGAGATTTTGTAGCGTCTTTAATCTTTTTAGTTTTCTCCTTATTTAACTTCAGCGAAGAAAATGTTTCTCTAAAAACTTTCGAAGAATAAAAATATCACAAAATCGTCAAAGGGTGTATGAAATGACCCTGAAGACACTTTGTTATTCGATATGTAATGGTAGGGAGAACTTAGCTACCATAACTAGTCGGCACTTTAACGATTTACAGACGTGTTGTTACCTCTGTAAATGGTCGAGATTTTTCATCGTTTTTATAACAGGCCCTCAGTGGAAGGACGCAAGCACAAGCCTAACTAGCCGGCATTATGATGAAGGAGTGTGTGCAATTAGGGATACTATTCAGTTTCGGTTTTAGAGAAAAAGGAGGAAATCTTCGTAATTACCTGCCCCATCTAAAAATTTCTTGGAAGCCTCCGTCGCCACAGCTATCAAATTTAGTTTATTTTACTAACAGCGAGTCGGTATACCCTATTGCGCGTGGCGACAGCTGGTGATATATCTCAGCTTCAGTACGGTAATAAGTGATGCAAATATGTTCAAAGAAGTATAAATATGTCCAAAGACGTATGAGGAAGTATTTCAACAATTGAATCAGTATAAAGGTTTTTGCAGTCAGTACGGACAAAAATACACTAAAAAACCGCGTGTAAGAATCGAGAGGTTCAAGAACCTTATGTCGGAAATTTTCCATAATTACATGAAACTGTTTAGCCAAGTGTGATCACGCAGGTTATTATGTCTGTTTTACAGTTAAATTATGATAAACATCTTAACCAAGAAAATTGACTTGAATTCTGCCAATTTTTATTACCAGAAAACAATTTAACAAACTGTAATTACAAAAAAAAAGTATAACTGTAAAACTCTAGTATAATGCGCTACATTTTCGATACAGTTCCTTTAACTTCGTTTGATGAAACGTAAAAAATAAAACTATTCTGAAACAATTTAACACATTAATTGGACAAATGACGACAGTTGCTGGTGTTTTCTGCGCACGACTATGGGAGGTAATGCGCGCTTCATGTTAAATAGTAAGGAGCCTTATAATATAACCTTCACACCTGGCGTAAAGTAGCTACAGGCTGTTATGGCAAACTTGTTATAACTTGATGCAATTCTACGCTTATAACGTAAACTTTTAGACAACTTTAGACAAAATGAAATGTTGGCGTAAAGATTGTTTACCATCTTTAACTTACGTTCTGAGTAATATTCACCTCCTGTCTTCAATTTATTGGAATACCCTGTATTTGTTAAAGAGATTACACTTTCCTACTGGAGTCAATTTATTGGCTTAATCTCCCTCACACTTCAATCCAGCCTAGTCACTCTACATAAATTTTCCAATGCCCAACTTGTGTCAATTTACAGAGACTCTTTGTGTTCCTATTTATGTTATGTTACAGATAGTTTACAACGCCCCGCTTGTGTCAATTTATAGAGATTTTAAGATGCCCTGCTTGTGTCAATTGATATTTTAAAAGAATATAACTTGAGAAAATCCTTGTGAATGTCAACCTTACAAATATCATACAGAGGTTTGTAACGTCTTTAATCTTTTTAGTTTTCTCCTTATTTGACTTCAGCATGGAAAATTTGCATTTCTCTAAATAAAACCTTTCGAGAAATAGAAATATCACAAAATCTTCAAAGGGTGTATAAAAAGATTCTGAAGACACTTCCATATGTAAAGGTAGGGAAATCGTAGCATTCATAACTAATCGGTACATTTACGATTTACGGACGTGTCATTACCGCTGTAAATGGTCCACATTTTTCATTGTTTTTATAACAGGCCCTTAGTGGAAGGACGCAAGTACAAGCGTAACTAGCCGGCATCATGATGAAGGAGTGTGTGCAATTAGGGATACTATTCAGTTTCAGCTTTTAGAGAGAAAAGGAGGAAAACTTCGTAATTACCTGCCCCATCCAAAAGTTCCTTCGACGCCACCGTCGCCACAGCTATCAAATTTAATTTATTTCACTAACAGCGAGTCGGTATACCCTACTGAGCGTGGCGACAGCTGGTGATATATCTCTGCTTCAGTACAGTAATAAGTGATGCAAATATGTCCAAAGAAGAATGAGGACGTATTTCAACAATTGTGTCAGTATGATTTTTTTGCAGTCAGTACGGACAAAAAATACAGTAAAAAACCGCGTGTAAGTACTGAGAGGTTCAAGAACTTCGGTGAGAAATTTGCCAAATATATAAACCTGTTTATCCAATTATGATCACGCAGGTTATTATGTCTGTTTTACAGTTAAATTATGATAAACATTTTAACGAAGAAAATTGACTTGAATTTTGCAAATTTATTTACCACAAAATAACTTTCACTACAAGAAGGAGCTGTGCAATGTACAGTTGTTTATAAAATATTTTATATTTCAGGAATAAACACAAGTTTACTTTTTTCTAGAAATTAAGCGCCTAATTAAGGACCTACCAAGGCCAATAAATATCCAGAAATACAATTAACTTTTTTTGAAAATATGTAGGTTCCTTCCCCCCGGGTTTTGTGTTACTGTTTTGATATGAATCCTGAAGGCAATATGGACTACTTTGCTATCTCAGTTGGAGTTTGCCACTGAACCAATTTTTAGATTTATTGGTTTAGGGTTATTAGCTGTGGTCACACTAAAGAGTTTTACCTAGGTAAAACCGATTTACCTAGGGCAAATTCATCCAAAATCTCCCGAGGTAAATTCATCTCGGGATTTGTTTTACCTAGGTAAAAATTCTGGGAAGGTCACACTACTGATATCGGCTCCCAAAGTTTTCACGCCAGTTGAATTTTTTGGAGCGTAAATTCAAGGAGCCAGAATGCGCAGGGATCTAGCTGATCAAAGAGATGTTTTTTTCTTTTATGGCATGGGTCGCACTTGGCAAATTTCTGGAAGAATTTGTTTACCTTGCGGTAAAAATCTGTCATCGGGACACATTGCCAAGTGCGACCCCAAGTTTTCAAGTTGAAAAAAAACTTTGAAAATCGCGAAAAACATCAACGACGCCGTATTGCTTGGGTGGGGCAGGCAGATTTTGGAAAACTTGAGCTAAACAATAGGAATCACGGCGGTAAGTGTCAGCACTTGTCAGCGAAACGTGACCAATTTGAAACACGATCAATTTGAATCAATCGTTGAAATTTTCTGACCTTCGCGTTTTCGTTGTGGACGGAAGAGGCTACCACTACTTTTCGCCATTTTAACGTTTTTGCGAAAACTTTCTACTGGCGAGCAATACATAAGCTTGTAATCCTTCGCTATTTCAACGTTTTTACGGGAACTCTCTACAGGCGAGCCAATTATAGTCTACCCAGGCACCGTCACAGGTTTGTTATTCTCCGAGCTAAATGCAGTCTTTGCAGCCAAGCACTTTATTTTCTTTATTTCTCCCATCCTCCTGAAAATGGGAAAGGAGGAAAACGATCC